CAGCTAAATTAGGTATCATCAAATGACAGAGGTGTTCAAGTTCTTTAGCTTTAGTAAGTAACGTTTTACGGCGCTCGCAACTGCATAAGGTCAAATGAGCGCCAAGGGATGGATGTCAACAGAGAAGTCCTTACAGGGAATCAGACTTACTCTGCTCACCTCTCTAGCTTCAACAGCACAAAGTCTGCTTCGACTATCAAGGCACCCCGGAAATAGGTAATGTTTCTGTACAATCCGTGTTTACAACAGTTTCGTCTTAGTAAGAATTTTACGGCACTTGCAACACAAAAAGGTCATAGGAATTATGCCGAAGGATAGAGGTGTTACAAGAGAGTAACAAACACAAAAAAAGAAGGAGGGGATATAAAGACGATAGATGTTTGATAGGAAAAAAGAAGCAAACCACACCAGAGCACCCGCCAACCACCCACCTATATCTACAACAGAATTAAAAACATTTCAGCAGTCAGTCAGAATATCATGGACAAATATTTGGCAGTAGTCCACTATCAGGATATTCAGGTCTACAATAAAAACCACATACACACACACGCATACAGACACATACACACACAAACGCATACAGACACACACACGCACACACACACACGCACATACACACACACAAACACACACACACACGCGCATACAGACACACACACACACACAAACACACGCACACATGCACGCATACAGACACACACACACACACACACACAAACACAGACACACAGTATAAACTTTCAATCTGTAAACAATCCTTTACAATCCTACTGGGGACGGAAAGTGTTCTGTTTAATCCATTATAATAAAGACAGCAACAATGACAACAGCAATAACAACAGCAACAACGACAACAACAACAGAAACAACAACAACGACAACAACAGAAACTACAACAACGACAACAACAACAACGAGAACAACAACAACAACAACAATGACAACAACGACAACAACAACAACAACAACAACAACGCCAACAACAACAGCAACAACAACAACAACACAAAGCACACACAACTGTGGCTGTCCCAAACCACAAGAACCAAGCAGCGGAGAAATGATCCTTCGATCCTTCAATCGGCAACAAGGGACGGAGAAATATTGAACCTTTAGGAGGCTGGCTACCACAGCCCTGTCCTTCACTGCCAACCAGGTTTTTTTAGCAGAGGTTTTACGGCGCTCGCATCTGCATAAGGTCATATGAGCGCCAGAAGATTAGAGGTGTTACAAGAGAGTAACAAACATAAAAAAAGAAGAAGAGGAGATAAGGACGATAGATGTTTGAGAGGAAAGAAGAAGCAAACCACACCAGAGCAACCGTCAACCACCCACATGTGTCGCGACACGCTGGAATCAGGCGCTCGTCAAGTTTTGAGCATTTCTCAGCTACTGGTATCATCTTAAAGCGTGTTTACTCGTGTTGCTTTTGATGACAGAAATTCCCATCTATCTTGTTTGTTGTAGTAGAGGTTTTACGGCGCTCGCAACTGGTTAAGGTCATATATAAGCGCCAAGGGGTGGATGTCAACAGAAAAGGACAAACGGGGAATCAGACTTACTCTTCTCACCTCTCTAGCTTCAACAGCACAAAGTCTGCTTCGACTATCAAGGCACCCCGGAAATAGCTGGTCACAAAAGAGTGACAAACATACAAAAGAAGTAGAGGAAAATGACAATAGTAAGGATTAGGAAAGAAAAAGTAGCAGTTCCCTGTTGTAGATCAGGCACAGTTATCAGAGTGACATTGTCGGATCAGCCCATTTACAATTAGAACGAGAAATGTCCTCCCCCTTTGGGAATGGCCTAAAGACTCTTCAGTCAGTGGCACAGCCCCGTGGGGTCCATCTATCTTGAATAGAAGTCAAGAAATTTCAATTTGCGATTGAAGGAGATGGGGGTCGCCGGGTTTCAGTGGTAAAATTAGCTAGAAAATGGCGGTCAACTTTTCACAATTTCAATAGCTTAAGAGTCCCTGAAAACGATAAAATGACATATTTTGTGTCTTTGATCAACGTTTTTCTGTGAAATTCACATTGTAATGTGTTTTTGTATGGACACGAAAGGTGTTGAGGCAAAAAACGAAAATTTGAGAAAAAATTTCCACACAGGTGGAAAAGTGCTTTTTTTCTTCAACATAATTATTTTGACGAGCGCCTGATTTCACCAAGATGCTTCGCTTATAACAATAAGAACACCCTCGACCCCCCCCTCAACAATAAGAAACCC